GGGGGGGGGGGGAGGGAAATAGCGCGAAATATACCTGCAAAATTATATCACACCAAGGGTTTGTTTTGTTAAAGTTTTCCATGGAAATTTATTGAATGGAACATATATAATGTTGATAATATCTTTTTACAGGTATATGTTCATTCGTCGTTGGAAAACGTGAACAAATACATTCCAATAAAAATATTGCCCAACGAATGTGGTGGGAAAGCAGGTCCGATACAGGAATTATGGAAAACGCAGTTGCAGAAGATCGAGAACTTTCACGAATGGTTTCTGGAAGACGAAAAGAATCATCGCGTGAACGAGTCACTACGGATCGGTAATAGTAAGACATCTAGTGATTTGTTCGGCGTGGAAGGTAGTTTTAGACAAGTAGAAATCGATTAAGTCAATTTTGAGATATATAAGTATCATATAGTGCTAAGTTAATGACAAGGAAAGAAACCTTTGCGCAAATATAATTTAAAATGTTTATTTCATTTATAATAAACGTTATTAACTATAATATAACTATATAATTAACTATATAATTGGAAACTATATATAATGGGAAAACTATATATAATTGGAAAAAATATATAACTATATAAATGTTATGTTAACTATATATGTTAATTATAAACTGTAAATATGAGTATTAAATGTTTAATAATTGTTACGCTGCCTATTTTTCTGGACATTTCTATCAATATCATATGTAATGTAAATGTTACTTAGTATTTACTAAGTAGTGGGCACATATAATTTTATTCAAACTTATTATAATCTTATATTCATAACACGAACTTTTACCACACTTGACTAATGTTTTTAACGTGAAAAATCATCTGGTGTTGTTTTGTATCCCCAACGAGTTTTTATAAGCTTATGCTATATTATGAATAAGACGGATCACTGCCAATTTTCGTTGCACATTTAGGTCTCTAACAGTTAAACGCTAAACGTAACGGTTGTAATGCTAAACAACTTGAATATATAATCAGTATGCAAAATGTTAGCAATGTACCAGCAGATTGGCAACATATTCGATGAGAATGCTATTGCAGAATAATTTAATTCTGGATGGTAAATAAAGATAGAATGATGCGTGTCGTTATCCAAACAACGATATCTCATGGGATGTTCTGTGGACGCCCTTAGAACATTGGGACATCCTCAGGACACCTTAAGGATGTCCTTAGGAGATCTGTGCTGGGTGCGAATGTTAAGTAGAACCTGCCTACCGTAAAAAGTCCGGTTAGCAATCCATTATATTACATCTAAAATAATCTAGAGAATTCATAATATAGGGAATTACGAATATAGGGAAACATCTTTATGAACAAACTTTGATACGGACGGGATCCGACAGCCTACATTGTTGATTGGTTGATTTAATACAATTTTCTATTTGGTGGCCCAGCGGAAAAATTTTAGGCATCGATCGATGTGAGTGGACGTGTGTTATCGTAGAATGCTAGATATGTATGGTCTATTCTTTATAGCTGCACTGCTGAACTGATGCAATAAGTTGAAGTGAGAAAACACATATTTGAAAATTTATAACAAGCCGTCGAACTTCCAATCCGACTGATGTTCAATCAATTCATTTCCCAAAATTCCTTATATTAGAGATTCCTTATATTTTTCAGAATATTTCTCACGTATAATATATTCCCAGGTAGCACAATAACGTCGGAGGATGTCAAATTGCTGTCAATAAGACATCCTCTGACGTCACTCTGCTATCTTTTGTTTGGATTTGTGGCACGTTATTAAAAGTACTTTCCAGCACTATATGAGGAAACAAAAATTAAGCGGAATAACAAAATTTTATGTGTAAAAAATTGCAATAAAGCCACATTAATATTTCTTATGTTGATTTTATAAAATATCTACACAAATATCTAATTGATTTTATAAAATATCTACACAAATATCTAATACAAACAACTAATTACTCATCTACGGAACATTAATGTCAAGTCTAATTATTGCCAAGATACAATATCGAAGACTGGAAGATTTCTATGAATGATTATCTCCCTCGATAGTCCCTTTAAAGTAAAAGTCTATTATAATCTGATCAAAATATATAAAAATATAAACTTCCTTCGCACGGAAATCGACCAGAAGCAATCATGCCTCATCAATATATTCTTTGAATAACTAGTTTGAATAACAGATTATTGAATTGGTCTACTGGAAAGAATGACGCGCATACATTATATCCCAGCAAACATCAAATTACAGTTACATAATTGCTAATAATTTCCTACTCAATAATATAACTGTTATATAACACATGCGTTATACATAACACGCGGATATAGATCCGTCATTGAGCATTTTCATTTATTTTAGCAACGCGAAAAATATATATGTACAATATATACGTTGAAATGAATCATACGAATTTCCAGGCTGGGAAAAACCGATCATATATGTCATACAAGGCAAACTTCAAGAGAAATACGGTTACGCAATCACGAATAATATGGCAGTAGCGAACAGTTCACTATTAACGTCGAAACACTACGGTCAAGTGAGTATACGACATGACGGATTTCCTTTCTTATAAAGAAAACAGTCATTGATCAAATAGATTTGCATCATTATTACACAATTTAACGAAGAGTTATTAATAGTAGTTAATTTTTATCAAGATGAATAATAAAAGATGGAGTCTGATAAACAAATGCTCATCTGCGGTAATCATTGATAGAGATCAATCTTATGACAGTGAAGTACGAGAAAAACTTGAAGGAAAATACGAGTCTTAAGTGATGTCTTCGATAAAGTGCATTACTTTCGAAGAAGAACTGAGGAAAAATCCAGAACTAAAGTTATCGGATATACGGATTCTCAGAGAATGGTGCGAAAAACAAGCACATCTGCCGAAAATCCAGGACGTGGAGCTCGCCGTATTTCTACACAGCAATTACTATCATATAGAACCGACGAAAAGTACGATCGAGAATTATTATACTTGTAGAACTCACGCGCCAGAATTATTTTCCAACAGGGACATACGGAAAGTGAAACGATTACGAGACACTTTCAATGTCATGTGAGCATAAAATTTCTTGATATTTATCTAAATAATATATTCATAAGTGATTTATTACAATAAGTACAACACAAGTTCCCTCCATGAGAAATTCAAATAGATTCAACAACTAAATATAAAAAATCATACCCGTGTCTCAGCGTCTTACCAGATCAAGTCGTTTACGTTTTTTTTTATGCAGTTATTTATTTATCATATTCGTCTCATGTTGATTTTTTAAAACTGTTCTAAATTATTATATGTTAATTATTAATAATTATATGTTAATTTGTTTATTCAAGTAATTGATGTTTTTCCGGGTACAATTGTCCGCTGAATCCGAATATGGTGATACTGAGTCGGTAAAGTTGAAAATCCTATAATATTTACACAAAAAAAGGAACTGATTTATATTATTTTTTTTTAGATTTCCATTCATTTTCCAAGTTTTCCACAGATTTTGTTAAGAATCTTGGTCGTTTGCTCAATGGTCGCAATGTCTTGGTGAAAACGTTCACCATGTTCGTCACTGAAGTCACCTAAATTTGGTGGAAAAAAATCCAAATGAAAAAAGATTCGGAAACTAGCTCTGCTGCATTCTGCTCTCTGAAAGTAGCCGAGACGTGGCAAGGCCTCACCTACTGAGAGCTGTCTCCCCACTACCCGTTTCTCGATAAGAGAGCGGTTCGCGGATCTGGAAAATTTGCCCGAGCAAGGTCGAAAAATAAGCTGATTTCTTATTGGTTGACGTGAGCCACGTTGTGCAGAATAATTGACATTTAAGAAATGAAAACGACTTGATCTCGTAAAACGCTGAGATACGGGTTATGTTGGTTTACATTTATTTTTAGAATCTTTTTCAATTTCTCATGGGAGGAAGAAGAACTCGATTTTTATCGAATGATGTTACATATGAAAACATATTATATAGTCTTATTAGAAATTCTGTCAGTCAAATTTCAAAATTTTGTCTCTCATTTCAAGAAATTAGAAATTAATATCTTTTTAAGCAATTCCTGATGTGATCGATTGATAATTAGCCGCGATATCTTTACATCTGTTATTGAAATGGAGGAAGTAGCTCTGATAAGATCTGTCTATGTACATATTTTTTTCGTAGTACAGATAAAATTGATCACAAAATTATATTTACTGCACTTTTGACTGCGAGTCACTCGGAAACAAATCGTCCGATGTGCAGACATGTCACACCTGTATTCGTTAATGCATATAGATGCATATAGATAATGCACTGTAGCGCGTTACGGCATTGCGCGTTGACGCATTAAACATTATTTATGAATTATATTACATGTTATTATTAAAAATATAAAATATTAAACACAAATCATTTTTCCCCTTAAAAGACGGAAAAACGAATTCACCTTGTATAATGAAAATATTTTTGCGTAAAAATAATGAGCGTTACATTCAAATTCAATAAAAGCAGCTAATTCAATAATAACAGTTTATTAAGATAAATTTGTTGTAATAAGTTCAAGTTTCGGTATTTTGAACATAAAAGAAATATTTCCACAGATAATTTATTGATGATAATATATGTATTATCCATTGTCTATGTATCATCCATCCATGTATCATCCATCATTCCACAGATAATTTATTGATGATAATATATGTATCATCCATTGTCCGTGTATCATCCATCTATGTATCATCCATCATTCCACAGATAATTTATTGATGATAATATATGTATCATCTATATTAATCTTAACCCTTAGCATACAAATAAATATTAATTTTGAATCCTTATATAGTTGTAATTATATAATTTACATTTTTGTTAGAAGTTTTTATAAATGACCTTATTTATGCTTGTTAAAAAAAAGAACCAACTTTCAACTAGAGGCTAAAACAAAGGAGGGATATAGCATAATATTTTCTCGACTTATCGACGTGGATCCTACGCATTTCTTCTACAATGAATCAGCAAATGCTAATTTTATGTCGTACGAGGAATATCTTTGGACTCACGGATCGACATTGGGACAAATCTTTGTCAGTGATGTCACAGGCTTCGCAATGGGACATATGGGACGTATGAACTTAGTAACTATGAAGAAAATACTATATTACGTCCAAAATGCTATGCCAATGCGCCTCAAAGGAGTTCATATGATAAATATGTCGCCAATGGTCGAAAAAATGTATAATATGATGAAACCTTTAATCAAGGATGAACTGATAAATTTGGTAAAAATCTTTCAAACTTTTTTAACAAATGATAACGTTGTGTTAATGATTATTTGGTTACTGGGATTACATTAAATATTAGAATAGATGTAATATTAAATTAGCAGTGTTATTGCTTATTAATCTCTTTAATCTACTAGAGAATTCCGTTGAATGAGAGACATACGATATTAAATAATGCCTTTTTTCAGATACACTTTCACACATCTTTGCAAAGTGCGAGCGAATATTTTCCAATAGAAGCATTACCTAACGAGCTTGGTGGGAAAGCAGGCACATTAGAGGAACTTAAAAACGCAAAATTAAAAAAAATCGAGAACTTTCAAGAATGGTTTTTGCAAGACGAAAAAAATAATCGCGTGAACGAATCATTACGGATCGGCGAAAGTAAGACATCTAATGATCTGTTTGGAATAGACGGTAGTTTCAAAAAACTAGAAATCGATTAAGTCGATCTGACGATGTACTAATTACAAAACGTACTGCTAGATAAATAACGAATTCGAGGAAAGGGAAATGCTTCTGGCTATTTATTTCATTAAAATGATAATTTGACTTGTGGAACGTTACAGAAATTTATAAATATCCACAATGAGAACATATAATTGATATGCCGAGTGATAAAGATTGTAATTAGTAAAGAAGATTGTTATTAATAAAATCAAAATCACTAATTAGTTATTACTTTTGGTCTACGTGGTAATTAAAGTCAACTTTCGGAAACCAAGTAAATTTCTTTGACATAAGTAATTATTGTGCATTTTTACTGTTGTGTAATTATTGTGCATTTTAACGTTTATATTGCTATTTTATTTATAGTCTTCTAGTTAAAACATAATATTTCATCCGACATCGGTATGGAGCTAGTTGGGCCAAATGTACCAACTAACTCCTTGTAATCTGATGTCTTAAATGAAACGTCCCTTTGTTGGTAATTGGATTTGTTTTGTTAAATCTGACGTTGCCCGGCTCAGTTTTCGGTGTAGCCATTGCGAGAGTCAACAAGCTAGATCCACAAATTAGGATTGCGAACCGATTGCATAAGACGTGACAACCGTTTTCTCGTTTAGATAATAATAAATTTGGCCTAACTTTGAAAAAGTTTCACCCTGAGACTTCTTGAAACATTCTAGAAATGCCTGATTGTAAAATCACTTCGCGAAAACTTGTGTGCCTTTATGATTCAAATTACCTCTAGAAGTGGCTCAACATGCCCCAAAAGTGAGGTACGTTGAGTCACTGATTTTTTGTACTCAAGCCGAACGTTTTCTTATTTATAAAATATATTTAAGATCGATGTGTATTTAATTAATGACCTGAATAAACATGTGATCCTCTAAGTCAATTTTCACTTATTTGTCATAATTATGAAAAAATTTATAACAGTTTAAAAGTTGTCCGACCAGCCTCGCTCTACATTACCTCGCAGCAAATACATTTGACCTTTAATAGTCAACTTTTAGCAATAACAATAAAATTCGGATCAGAAGATGAGATTTAGCTACTAAATCATTTTTCTAAATACAACGAACTTATGCAGTTCGATTAGTCATCTTTCTGTAATTTTATCGAACAAATGCAAAATAAGCGTAAACAACCAAACTGCTACCGAAGAAACTAAAATTTCTCAGTTAGAGTAAACAAATCTTGAGCTTCTACAGGTAGTTGAGATAGTTGTAGCATAAAGCGAGTTTTTTAAAAATTCGTTAAAACTTGTTATATGTATATAAATTTGTTTGAATATGACATAGGTGTTGACGCAATTTTAAAATGATTGGCTATTCAGTAGCTGAGATATTCGCAATATAAGGTAATACTTTTTTTATGTGTTCCTTGAGATTATACATATTTCTTACGACAATACGCACTTCCTACACTTATATCCCTCGAATATCCTCCATACGTATTTCTTGAAGCGTTCTATCTTAACAACAATTTTTTGTGACAGTCCAACTCGCATGCGATCGGTCGTCGAGTGCAACATTGAAAGTCTAACGTCGCGTAGAGAAGTGGTGTCCTGAGTGAGCTCGCCGAGTTGCTGGTATTCGATAATTTCAATTATAAACAATTTGTTAGAAGAATTACAAGTTATTTTGCCAAATTCATCAATTCTGCCTTGATGAAAGGTTTCATCAAATTTAATGTCGTCTTAACCACTAGCGACACATTTATTACGTAGATTCCCTTTAAACGCATTGGTATAGTGTCTTGGATGTATAACAAACATTTCTTCAACACCGTTAAGTTTATGAGTCCCACATGCCCAATTGTTGTGCCTGCACCATCAAGGATAACGATGAATCCCGGCTTCGATCCGTTAGACCACAAAAATTCATCGTACATCATAAGACCGGCACTCATTGTTTCACTAAAAGAAAAATGCGAAACGTCCGTGTCGAAAAGGCGTCCTAATATTATCTCATATCCCTCTTTTGTCTTAGTCTCCAGGTAAAGAATAGTCCCTGTTTTTAACAAGAATAGTATACGTGTTACTATATCGTATTTATGTGTATCATAAAATTTATTCAATCAACATCTAAAATGCTAGGTCAGTAACAAATTCAAATAAAAAGGTTTTTGGGAATGTTTACAATATCTGAATCTAAAATCGTATTAATTTCAAGAACCTAAATTTTTAGACAAATAATATAATTTAGACAGATGGGCAAGGGCGAATTAACAAATTATTATTTTCGAAGTTAAATATATCTTTATAAAACTGTAGATTGCTAAAAACTTAAATTCCCCCTGTCCCTCCATCTCCCTCGCTACCTTCTCCCTCCCTCCTTAATTCAATTATACCGGGATATATGAGAGTTGTTTGATAAATCTGGTAAAAAAGCAAGTAAAAGACATTTTTTTTTTAAGAAAATCGCCTTTACTTCTCAACATAATCTCCATCAAGAGCGATACGCTTCCAGCGAATTTCCAATTTTTTTAATACCGTCGGAAAAGTAAGCTCTAAACCTGTAAAATACTTATTGACGGCGACGATGACTTCCTCATTTGACGAGGATTCTTTCCCATCAAATTTTCAAATTTGGAGACAGGAAGAAATCGCACAGGACCAAGGTTATGAACTCCATGTTTCCTTGTAATCACGTTCGTCGAAGTTTGTGTATTCACGATTATCAATCCTACAGACTGAATTTTCAAACGAGTCACGATTCAGCAAAACAATACATTGTTCTCAGCTCGTCTAAATATCATATATTAACACAATGCAATCTTCGACACGCTAGTGACGAATATTACTTCTACATGACATTTGCACGTTTCCCAAAGTCATTCTAACAAATTTCCTCCACAGTTGTCATTTATTTCTTGTAATGAATATTTTTAGAAATTCGCGCGGTCATGCAGGATGCATTTGATCTTCGTTAACATTTGCGTACGTGCTGGTAACAGTTGAATCGAAATGTTGGTAATATAACAATACCGAACACAACAGATGATGATGTTTCTTCCTCGACTGTGTCATAGAAGTGGCACAATAATATCGTAATGAAAGTAATATATTAGGTTGGGGAAAAAGAAATCCATTATTTTTTCGGTAGATGGTTGTAGTGATCGATATCTCGTAAAGTATCGATCAAACAATTTCAGATTTATGCTCGTTGGAAAAGTGACATTTCGCACTAAAAAAATTCTTTTGTTGTTTTTTGTTTGGTCCATTCAGTTGTGAGTTACAGGGTGTTAAAAATGGAAGTCAACAAAGAGAAAATTCGGTACATTTTACAGTTTTTCTTTGATAAAGGCGAAAATGCAAGCCAGGCGGCTGTAATTGTGAATGGTATATGGTGCCGATACTGTAACAGCCAATTACGTGCAATTTTGGTTTCGTCGATTCCGTTCTTTTGATGTTAAAGATGCACAGGTAGGCTCATCGTCGAAAATGTCGATAAAATCACAGAAATAATCGACCGGCATGTTAGCAGTCGTAGCATCGCCCAGGAGCTCAAGATCGACCATAAAACAGTTTTAAACCATTTGCACAAAGCTGGATACAAAAAGAAACTCGATGTTTGGATGCCACACCAATTAACACAAAGAAACATGATGGATCCATCTGCGAAGCCTTGGCCAAACGGAATGAAATCGACCCATTTCTTAATGGTGACTGGGGATGAAAAATGGGTCGACAACATTGCGAAAACGATCGTGGTCAAAGCGCGGTGAAGCAGCTCAAACGGTGGCCAAACCAACGGCCAGGAAAGTTCTGCTGTGCATTTGGTGGGACTGGAAAGGAATCATTTATTATGAGTTGCTTCCATATGGCCAAACACTAAATTCGGATCTCTACTGTCAACAACTGGACCGTTTGAAGCTAGCGATTGACCAGAAACGGCCAGAATTGGCCAACAGGAGAGGTATTGTGTTCCATCAGAACAAACATGTCTATAGTGACTCGCCAAAAACTCCGGAAGCTTGGTTGGGAAGTTTTGATGCATCCACCATATAATCTGGCACCAAGCGATTACCATGTTTTTCTTGCATTGCAAAATTTCCTTAGTGATAAGAAATTGGCATCAAGAGAAGATTGTGAAAATCGATTACTAGAGTTTTTCGCCAATAGGGACCAAGACTTCTATGAGAGGCATTATGAAGCTACCTTTAAAATGGCAACAAATTATAAAACAAAACGGTGCATATTTGACCCAAATCGGACAATCCGAAACATGTTAAATAAAGTTTTGAAGTTCACGTAAAAATAATGGATTTCTTTTTCCCCAACCTAATATTTATAAGTAAAAAATAAATTTAAAAAACAAATATAATTGACAATTAATGAATTTCCCATGTGAAACGTTAAGATAGATCGTTTGTAACAATGTCGCCGCATATGCGTAGTACTGAATACTGTAATCCAATTATAATTTCACATTCTAATCCTTTATTGTGTTACTTCGCTAAAACGATAATCACATACGAACGAATCAATTATCAAAATTAGTAAAATAGAAATAACATCGACTATTTCACTTTTACGTTTCTCGCCTCATATGATTCTCGCTATGCAAAGGCATAATAAATATTCAATAAGAATCAACAAACCATGAACTTGTCCGTTTATTAATTATATACGCCAATCAATAGGATTATGTGGCACTTTGATAAAATGGAACGTCAGCGAAATTCTCATATTACGTATCGTGGAAATCACAATATAATCACTATACAAGGTTCAGCATTTGTCACGCTATGTATGTTGCTATTTCAGCGACACAGCCTTTAAAAGGCCGATTACATCTGATATGACTTTCAGTCAGTGTTTGTCAAGACGTTGAGTACAGTCCTTGTACACTCCATCCTCTGCGCCGTTTGCGTCCAAAATAGGTGAAAGAAAAATTCACATGTAAGTATCAAAATCTACGTTGGGTGTAATATTTTATTAAATTTTACCGAAGATTTCACACTGACTCAACGATCTTGCTTTGTAAGAGCTTTGTGATTCTAAGTGAATATGGCCGAGATAAAATTGGTGTCGTTCGAGGACGAGCTGAAGAAGAATCCCGAGTTGAAGGAGGCGGACATACAAATGCTGCGAGAATGGTGCGAGAAGCAGCCTCACTTGCCGAAGATATCGGACAGCATGCTGGCGTTATTCTTACACAGCAACTATTACCGACTCGAGCCGACGAAAGCCAGTATCGATACATTCTACACAGTCAGGAGCCATGTCCCCGAGTTCTATAACGACCGGGACCTCGTGAATAACAAAGAGTTGAAAAAGGCTTCTCAAACGGTGTAAGTATGTTTACTTCCGACCAATTAGCATCGTAACCGGCGACACTCTTGTATGACAAATCGAGCATAACGATGTATTATTTAGAAATGTTGCGCACACGCGTAACACAAAAGAACGATTTTATTATTCATTTATTTATTTGTCTATTAACGGAAAATACCCTTGAAAAAAAAAGGAAAAAAGTATAATTTCATCAATAGGACAAATCAGATCTTAGAAGGAACTACTCGGGAAGGCTACAAAATTATTTATGGAAGACTGATAGACAACGATCCGGCACAATTTGTGTACAACGACGCAATGAAATTGCTCAATATGGTGATCGACCTGTGGCTCTACACGGAAGGTACATGCGACGGTCATGTTATAATATTCGACATGAACAACGTTTCTTTCGGTCACGCCGGCCGTTTGAGCCCCATGGGTTTGAAGAAATTCCTTTATTACCTGCAAGAAGGGCTGCCCGTCCGACTTCGGGGCTTTCACTTCATGAACGCTTCTCCCGTAATAGACGTTATCTTGAATATGATGAAACCCTTCATGAAAAAGCAGCTGATGGATATGGTAAGAACAAAATTGTTACCTGTGATCGAATCAAAGTCTAAGATTTTACTTTACAGACAAGAAAGATAAGAATCGAATTAGGTTGAAATTTTCTCGGAAATTATCAATTTTTCCGGTAAAGCTGTATCGCTTGGATTACATTCTTCTTAATTTAAACAGATAGAAAAAGGAATTTTATATTTACTTTCTCGTTACATTTGTCGTACCTGTGAAATATTTTTTCACGGTCATTTGATAATTGAAATTTAAATTTCAGTTCCATATGCATACCACAGCCGAGTCTGTGCAGAAATTCATACCGCTCGAGGTCCTCCCGAACGAAGCGGGTGGCAAAGCCGGGCCTATACTCGAATTAAGCGACAAAAATGTCAAATATATGGCAGACAAAGCAGCGTGGTTCAAAGAAGAAGAGGCCAATTGCCGCGTCAATGAATCTTTGCGACCCGGCAAAGCGAAGACGGCGACGGATCTGTTCGGCGCCGAAGGAAGTTTCAAGAAGCTCGAAATCGACTAAAATCGAACAGCTTTGGGAATTTTTTTTAGATCTTTGGGATTTATGTCCACAAAATTTGCATTTTTTTTTTTAGATAGACAATCCTATTTCGAAAGATCAATATAATATCTAGTAAATGGAACATATCTGAATATAATCTGTCCCGTATGTATTTGACAACGGTGAATATTGAAAAAGTCTTATAAGAATGTACAGGTGAAAACTGTTAAAATTTTTATATTCATTATAAATAAATACATATGGACAACAAATATATAAATACGCTTGGCAATTACGAGTTTTCTTATAACTATCATATCCGAATAAATATATCTTTAAGAAACGTATAACTAATCGAAACTTGAAAAGAAAGAAATAGTAAAGTCGTCGAAAACGATCCTCATGATGTTTTCATCATTTTAAAGTAAACCACAATCTGAGGGGCTAGTCTAAGAGAATTACGTTTTTAAAAAAGTATCTTTGAGACAAGCGCTCGTGATGTGTTAGCAAATCTACCACTTGTAAATGTATTAGATTTATAAAATTTGCGATAGAATGGAAGAAAAACTATTAACTAATAAACAACAGTACAAAGTTCAACAGGATCTAAGTCTAAACTCATGCAAATTTCAAAAACTGAATCTTCCAATAAACGACGACTAAAAAATCTAAATCTAAAAACAATTCTATAATATATGTATAAGGGAATTAATCGATTTATTATTTTCCAAGTTAAATATACCATTGTAAAGCTCTACGTAGATTAACAAAAACGTTTACCTGTAACCTTTACAGGTCTACAACTGGGAACAGCAAAATTAAGCAAACACTTCGTAAAGCGATATCATTTTTTCAATATATTAGGTGGTAAACTTAGTTCCTGCGGCTCACAGTTAGATGACGTTAAATTTGCTTTCGATTAAGTCATGTCTCATGATGGTAATCGACCTGGAACAAGCCCAACCGTCTTGAGGGTTGAGATATAACAGTAAAAAGGTGGATTTTTGCCTTTGGGCCTTATGTTGGGCCTGTTCCAGGTCGATTACCATCATGAGACATGACTTAATCGAAAGCAAATTTAAAAAGGAATAAAATAAAAAAAAACAACAAAAAAATCGAAAGTGGCGTACTTTGCGAAATTTCGATTTTAAACTTTAAAATCTCAAAATAAGGGCGAAAACTACCCCCTAAAATTTTATAAATATTTTTTTCAGATCCTACGAGAAAAATGCTATAAAGTTACAATGGTTTCAGATTTTTTTTATTGACACGACGACGACGACGAGAATTAAGAAACTGGTAGTCGAAGCAAAAATTCGAATTTTATGACAGCCATAGAAGCTCATAGTGTGGGTCAAAAAATCCGAAAAAATTCGACAAATGTTTTCTAAAATAGTACTACCGATTGCCATAGGTTTCGATCAAATCTAATTTTTGAGCGTACCCCAATCACATGGAATGACCCATATCTCTTCATTAACGATTTATGATTATTACACAGCTAATTAACCACTCTCTGAGAACTGTTCTTTTTACTAGATCATTTTGCAAGTCCCGTTGCAGATAGAACTGTCTTAAGATAACACGTTAGTTATATTGGCGTTTATTTAACCTATTCAGAGACGAATTTGTCGAAATTAACTCAAATTACTTAATTTTGATGAATACCCTCGGTATTAGCGGTAATTTGCGACCGCTTATCACGACAAGCACCATAAATGTCACGCGCTGCCCGGGCATTCGGACAACTGGCTGCCGCGCGCCAGGTTGGCACGTGTTAGAAACTCGCAGATTTCAAACGTTGATCGTCTTCTCTAATTTCGCTGAAATGAAACCGGTATTAAATCAGCCAACATGTTCGCAATTGATCTATGACTATTAACAAAATTAGTCCTGTGATAATAATTATAAATATATAAAATTCAAGGAAAATTATGTGAAACAAGTTCCAGGTAATAAGTATGAAACAGAATTCAAGACGTAGCGTTCAAACGTACTCGAAATACAGTTTTATTTATTATTAATAAATCGACAGAGAATGTTACATACGAGAATTAATAGCGAGTGAAAGAAGTCTTGCGAATGATTTTTGGAGGACACAATGGAGTCAACGGAGAGAATAAGTCGCTATCAATCGTCAAGCGCAATATTTACAGCAATAGAAGTAAGATAGTGGTGAAAAAAAAAAATTGAAACAATTAGATACATAAATAACGCGTATTTCTCAATCACTTTCCGTTATGTTACGCGTCATTTGTCCATTTTTCCTTTAAAGAGAATCAGTTCGACGGGCGTTGAAAGAATTTATGCGTACATGAATATCTGGTATAAAGGATTATAAATTTTAAAAAATAACTTTCTCTACAATTGTTGAAAAATACATTTGCTTGCTATTTTCTACGGAACATTATTCAGTTCTTTTTAAGATTTAACCTCTCACCTTAATCTTAATATTTACTTCTCACCTACAGTAGGAACAAATAGCCAGCTAGTGTGTTTTCATATTCCCATTTATTGGAAATCATCAAGTTTGCTGTCATTCTTACTAATCAATCACCGAAGAAATCGCAAGTCGACAATATAACACATTTTCATTTTCACTTTATGAACGCCCCTCCGATAATAAACGCTATTTTGAATATGATGAAACCTTTCGTGAAGAAACAGCTGATGGATATGGTAAGAACGAAATTATTATTATACACATGGCCGAATAGAGGCCTAAGATTTTGTTTCCCAACTGAGAAAGTTAAGAGTCGGGTTAGGTTTAATTTTTCTCGAAAATTATTAATTTTGTTCCGGTAAAGCTGTATCGCATTTTCGTGTCGATGAAATAGCGTGTTTCATAAACTTAATACTATCTTCGACACGATCTTCCAATGACAGATACTATTTTTAGATACTATGACGCTTGTACGTTGTTTCTCAGAATTCTAAGATTTCCTTGTAGATGCTATTCTTTACTCGTACGCCTTTCAAAATACGTACGATGCATTAATGTTCATTAATTGTTGTGCATCCGTTAGTAATAATTAGATCAAAATTAGTTAGTGATGTAAAAATGCCAAACATAACTGAGACGATGACATTTCCTTTCTGATCGTCACAGAAACGTTACAATAAAGATAACTTATTTATACATATAATAAATTTAAAAAAAAACAAATATAAGAGACAAATAACGGATTGAATATTAGGAAAGAAGGTTTGTAACTGTACATGTGCCGTATTAAATACGACTTTTCAACTAGAAATTTATAATTTTACGCTCGAGTTCCCTTCATTTTAACTTTCGTATAAACATTCATATTAACTTATCGGTAGGATAATTCGTAAACTAATTAAGCGAAGTTCTATAATAATCCATGATAACACGGAAAATAATGCAATGTTTTTACGCTATTCATCATAAAAATGCATGAGAGCGTAATAACACGTTACCTTAGAATATACTAAGTTGTTACGCTATACGTTGTGCCGTCGTTTCAGCGCAGCACACTTTGAAAGGCCTATTATATCTGAATGCAAATCTCAATCAGTCCTTTCACTAAACGTCACTCACGCGATCCGCGCTTAGCGTTGCTCTGTGTCCAGGATAAAAGTTAGAAAATCTAATAATGTTGTGGCGCTCGTAGAAACGAGTCTCCGTGTGTATGATATTTAGCCGAAGATATAAGACTCAACGCTCTTGATTCTACTTCGTCGGAGGAATTTTGTGATTCTATAAGTTAATATGGCTACGATGAAACCGGTGTCGTTTGAGGAGAAGCTGAAGAAGAATCCCGAGTTGAAGGAGGCGGACGTAGAAGCGTTAAGAGAATGGTGCGAGAAGCAGCCTCACCTGCCGAAAATATCGGACAGCATGCTGGCGTTGTTCTTGCACAGTAATTACTACCGACTCGAACCGACGAAAGCCTGTATCGAAGTTTACTACACTGCCAGGAGCCACGTCCCCGAATTCTTCAACGACCGGGACATTGTAAATAACAAAGAGCTGAAAAAGGCCACTCAAACGGTGTAAGTATATTTACGATTAGCATCGTGAACGTATATCTCTTGTGTGTTAAAACAAGCTTAACGATTTGTCACTCAGAAATGTTACGTATTAACAAAATGGACGGTTTTATTTAGTTATTCATTAACGAGAAATATTCGTTAAAAAGAGGAAAAAAAAGAAAGAAAAGAACATTTTATCGACAGGACGAGCCAGATCTTCGAGGGATCTACCCAGGAAGGCTATACAATTATTTATGCACGACTAATAGACAGCGATTCAGCACAATTTGTGTACAACGACGCAATGAAATTGCTCAATATGGTGATCGACCTGTGGCTCTACACGGAAGGTACATGCGACGGTCATGTTATAATATTCGACATGAACAACGTTTCTTTCGGTCACGCCGGCCGTTTGAGCCCCATGGGTTTGAAGAAATTCCTTTATTACCTGCAAGAAGGGCTGCCCGTCCGACTTCGGGGCTTTCACTTCATGAACGCTTCTCCCGTAATAGACGTTATCTTGAATATGATGAAACCCTTCATGAAAAAGCAGCTGATGGATATGGTAAGAACAAAATTGTTACCTGTGATCGAATCAAAGTCTAAGATTTTACTTTACAGACAAGAAAGATAAGAATCGAATTAGGTTGAAATTTTCTCGGAAATTATCAATTTTTCCGGTAAAGCTATATCGCTTAAATTACGTTCTTTTTACCTTGAACCAATAGAAAAGGAATCTTTTATTTACTCTGTTACGCACATATGTGCGGAATACTTTTTTTCACAGCCATTTCGATAAACTTTTGAATTTAAATTTCAGTTCCATATGCACACCACAGCCGAGTCCCTAGAGAAATTCATACCGCTTGAAGTGCTCCCAAATGAAGCGGGCGGCAAAGCCGGACCTATACTGGAATTACACGAGAAAAATATAAATAAACTGATAGATCATACCGCTTGGTTCAAAGAAGAAGAAGCCAATTGCCGCGTCAATGAATCCTTGCGTCCGGGCAAGGCAATGTCAGTGACGGATTTGTTCGGTGTCGAAGGGAGTTTCAAGAAGCTCGAAATCGATTAAAATTACTAACAATCAGATCTTTGGAATTTACAATTATGAAATTTGCATTATTTTTAGATAAATAATTCTGTTTTGAATGATCAATGTAATATTTGGTAAATAGAACAAATAGTTTATCTCGTATATATTTAGCAACGGTAAATACTGAATAAATGTTTTATCGCGGCAATCTTACCTAGCTAAGTGGTATCCGTAGTGTTTTCTTTGTAGAACAATTATTTATTATTTGAAATTATTTATGATTGAAATAATATAAAACAATTATTATTACAATTTTATTATTATTATTACTTACAATTCTTATGATTGTATTATAATTGAATTCTTAACTTAGAAATTTCAATTCAAAGTATTTTTAATGCAACATTATATCTCATTCAATCAAAGACGGTATATTGTTCTTCCAATACAATAAATTTTATTGAAACCAGTGACAAATACAATTGAATCATTTGCAAATATTTGTGACATCGACGTTTCAATAAATCAACATATTTTATTGTTTCAACTAATTCTTTCCGTGTAAATTAAAATACTCTCTTTAAAAAAAGTATCTTCTGTTATATTGCGCATAACTTTTTTTTAATGCAACTCAGTTTGGCGGGCATTGGAAGAATTTATGCGTGCAAAAACATCCGATATATATATATATATATATATATATATATATTACATCATACCATTATGTTATATATATATAGAAATAGAAAAAAAAATTACTTTCTCAATAATTATTAGAAGACATATTTTGTTTACAATTTTCGGTGAGATATCATTAAAATTTTTTTGTAGATGTTGTAATATTTATCTTTTACATACAATACAAGCAAAAAAAATCAAATGTTTACGACTGTCCGGGTTAGCTATTAATCACCGAAGAAGACACGAATAGACGAGTAGTCTATTCGTACTCGTCTATTCGTGTCTTCTTCGGTGATTAATTAGTGAACGAGATTACGTGGAAATAGCGTGTATAAATGTAACACAATCTTTGACACGTCAATAACGAATATTATTTTCACGTGGCACTTGCACATTCCCCAAAGTCATTGTAATAAATTTCTTCAGGGATATTATTTCTTTCTTGTAATAAACACTTTTAGAAATACGTATAATTATGCAAGATGCATTAGTTTTCTTTAACTTTCGAGCATATGTTAGTAACAATTGGAACAAAATATTAATAATATAATGATGCCGAGTATAATTAATGATAATATTTCTTTCTCAACTGTCGTAGAAAGGACATAATAAAGATAAATTAATAAAAATAAGATAAATAAGATAAAATTAATTTACCTATTAATTTATATATAAATTATAATTAACAAAACAGATATAAGTGAAAAATTAATTCAGTTAAAAGTTAAGTTAAAAGTTAAAAAGTTATAATTTTAACTAAACTTAATTAAGTTTAATTGAGTTAATTTGTAACTTAAATATAGTTACTTTCTATGAATTAACTTAAAATATTTCATATTTGTATGTAATTTCGCATAATTTTTAACTTTAATTTTAACGTTTTAACTTTAATAAAACTTTTAACTTTAATAAAACTAATATCTTAACTCTCAAATAAATTAATATTTTATTTACGTAACACTTAATGTAAATTTATTTCATTTATAGCGATCAATACTTAACTTAGTTAAAAAAAAATTAACTTAACCAACCCTGCTATAATTTCATATTTTACCATCATAATTTTACACTTAAAATTCCCAGCATACTCATATTTATCGATAATCGATAAGATTGTATGACATTTTGTATAAAAAGAAATATGTCCTTGTATTATATATTCATTAGAAGGTTGCAGCGCTACAGTCTACTTTTACGTTATATCACTATGTTGTTGAACATTGAAAACAGCTATTATATATCTATATATCCGACTAGATGTAATGAATATGCGAATTTCAATCAGTGTTGTCCGAGATATCAAGCAGTTCACACACAACATACGCAGTATGTGTTAAAAGTAGAAGGTAAAAATATATTATACAAAGACATTCTGATGACATGGCGGCACACGGGTAAAGAAAAGTTTCTGGTATTTTACCGAAAATACAATTTCATCGACTTTATTTCGTAAGAATTTTGTGATTCTAAGTGAGTATGGCTACGATAAAATTGGTGTCATACGAGGACGAACTGAAGAAGAATCCCGAGTTGAAGAAGTCGGACGTAGAAGCGTTAAGAGAATGGTGCGAGAAGCAGCCTCACCTGCCGAAAATATCGGACAGCATGCTGGCGTTGTTCTTGCACAGTAATTACTACCGACTCGAACCGACGAAAGCCTGTATCGAAGTTTACTACACTACCAGGAGCCACGTCCCCGAATTCTTCAACGACCGGGACATTATAAATAACAAAGAGCTGAAAAGGGCCTCTCAATTAACGTAAGTATATTTACAGTTAGTATCACGACTACATAGCAATACTCCTCGTATAGCAAAATTAGCGTAACGATGTATCATTCAGAAATGTTGTGTAACACGCGTAACACGTATAACAAAAGTACGATTTTATCATTTATTTATTTATTCATTAACGGAACTTTAAAGAAGCGAAAAAAAAATTTGTATTGACAGAACATGCCAGATCTTGGAGAAATCTACCCAGGAAGGCTACACAATAATTTATATACAAATAATAGACAGCGATCCGGCACAATTCCTTCACAACGACGCCTTCAAATTGCTCAATATGGTGATCGACCTGTGGCTCTACATGAAAGGTACATGCGACGGCCATGTTATAGTAATCAACATGAGCAACATTTCTTTCGGTCACGTCAGCCGTCTCAGCCCTATGGGTTTCAAGAAGTTTTTTTACTATCTGCAAGAGGGATTGCCAGTCCGACTTCAAGGCGTGCACTTCATAAACACCTTTCCGATAATAGACATTATCTTGAATATGATGAAACCCTTCATGAAGAAACAACTAATGGATATGGTAAAATAGAAATTATTATATGTATACATATAGCCGAGTCAAAGCCCAAGATTTTATTTACCAACTGAGAAAGATAAGAATCGAGTTAGATTTACATTTTCTCGAAAATTATTAATTATTAAGATATAATATAAAGATTAAAATTATTCTTCCGATAACGTCGTATCAGATTACGTTCTTCTTACTTTAAATCGATAGAAGAACCTTGTATTTATTTTCACACATATATGTGGAATATTTTTCTCGGTGATTTTGATAAATCTTGAAATTTAAATTTCAGTTGCGTATGCATATCACAAACGAAACTCTCAAGAAATTCATACCGCTTGATGTCCTCCCGAACGAAGCGGGCGGCAAAGCCGGTCCTATCTTGGAATTACACGACAGACAAATGAAAAAGTTAATAGATTACACCGCTTGGTTCAAGGAAGAAGAAACCAATAGCCGCGTCAATGAAGCTTTCAGACCCGGCAAAGAAAAGACAGCGGAGGATTTGTTTGGCGTTGAAGGAAGTTTTAAAAAACTCGAAATCGACTGAAATCGAACGATTTACGTCTACTGATCTATGTCGTTTAATAAAGCACTTCCGGATATATCTATTGCTAGTTTATTTATTTTGAAAGGATGTTGTTTTCATTTTTTCATCAATTTTCTAATTTTTCATAAGAAATTATTTACATTTTTTGCAAAAATCATTTTCAAATCAAACTTTTGAACATTATTTACATCTACCCGATATTCCTCTGTTAAAACAACACTAAATTTCTAAAATACAAAAACCAAAGCTTAAAGAGCCATAGTTATTATAGGAACTATACTAAGCTATAGTTATTATAGGAACTATAATAGTTATTATAGGAACTATAATAACTATAGTAACTATAATAACATGTAGAAAATTAAAATTAAACAAAACAATTTCTTTAAATGTAGAAAAGAGGCGCACTTTAAAAATCTTTAAAACAATTTTTTTCTTGTTTTTCTTGTTTTTAGGGATGCGATATATATGATATAATATATACAATATAATATGTCTAAAAATTAAAATATTTTGTTAATAATAGCTATGGTAGTTATTATAGTTATTATATTATTATAATTATTATAGTTACTCACTTGAAACTTGAAATGGTTATGCATATCTCGTTATAAATGTCTCACGATGCGACGATAATTTAACCAAATGCGGAATAAACTTCTCGATTTATTGTGGTTCGCTGAATGAGCGAATAACAGGAAATGCATTGTTATTGCAAATCTAATTTGTCAAGTGAACACGAAGCATACATATTTAGCATCTACCCATAATCAACAATTCTGATTAAAATGTAGTAACGCTATCAATACAATACTTGATTTAATCCAAATATATAAGTATATAAATAAATATAAATATAATATATAAAAACATAAATAACTGAATATAAATACCCGAGGAAAAATGATTATATATAATTATATAAAATCATATATTTTTGTCCATATATGTGGTTATATATATGATCATATATGTCTATACGAAAAAAAATGATGCTTTGTCATTTAATTAAATGTCGATATCATGTGTTCTCAGAAACACAAGTAGCCAAAAGAATTCTAGTTTTCACTGTTTGAAAAACTAAAAAAAATACGAAGATATTATTGCAATAATAATAAATTAAAAATAATCACATATTCTTATTAATAATTCATATAGAATGTTTTCGCAGCCGATAGAGATTTGTCAACGCATCATTTGTGATGTATAATTTAAGTAGGTTGTCTCCTTAAATACTTATGAAAACTTTTCTACCAGAAATTTTTACATTTCATCATTCATACGTTCGAGAAGTTTGCAAATATGAATTGCACAGAAGCTGTATCGGTGTGAGGGAACCTTTATAAGCGACACCTCCACCTTTCAACGATTTCTTATAATACTTTCACCATCGCGCTATCCTCGCAGTAAATACTAATCCACGTGTATGAATATATCGATGAGACAATCCGAACTCTTCGGCTTCGTGATGAAACGCATAATAGTAAGTAAGTATGCACAAGACATACATTATTATATTTCACTATTAATCAATATTTTACAATTGATAAATATTTCAGACAACAATCTGAGAAATTAGACATGTAGATATTTACCGCAATGTATTTAAATTAAATAAATTGCTCAAATATATTTCCCGTACGAATCAAATAACGTTAGACAAGATTTATAAACTAAAATTATGCAAATAACGTGTAATAATAAAAAATGAATGTAATCGTTAAGGCAGAATAACCTGTTTGATTTCGCAATTCACATTCACAGTTTATCGCGCAAGAACGTTGCGTATATTTGATATAAAAAAGCTATAAAATATAGATCAATTATACCATTATACCCTGCGAAATGATATTCCTTCTTTTTCAATGTTAATAGTAATAGTAAATCAAACGAATCATCAAAATTTCTATGAAATTTTTCTTATTACAATATTCATTCCGCGGATTAAATAGTTATACAACACTAAATTCAAAGAATGTTTTATATTACTCACATATAAATTAATAAATTTCAATTTAACAATTTACATTAGGTCTAATTTCACTTTAATAAAATTTCACCAAATTAAAATCTCGTTTGAAAATTAATTTCGATATATTTGAATTACAAATTTATACATATTTCAGTTTTAAAAAACTGAAATATCTAATATAAATACAATTATCCCTTGAAAACATTTAAGCCTTGAAAAAATATAAAGGACCTTAAAAATTCATTTAAACTTTAATCAACCGTAAATACTTAATTCTTCTTATCTTTTTATCCTAAATTTTAGATAGCCGTCGCTTTGATTAACATTTGTTTGGCGGACGTGTCGCATATTCTACCAGGATATACGACAACCACTACACCACCACCGAAACCTTACAATTTTCAATATCAGGCAGGACGATATCCAGGACATATCGATCGAGTCCATCAGGAAGCCGGAGATGGAAGTGGAATTATTCACGGTAATCGCAACTATACGATAACTCGTAATTAAACCGTCAAAATCAATATAGTTTTATATCTAAAATTATGTCTTTCGACAATTAAATTTGCAACTGTTAAACAATCGAATCATGTATCATTTATATATATTACTCATATGTAACATAATATAATACTCATATGTAACATAATTACACGATATCACATTTCCATCGACTGCAAATTTATTTATATTACAGCGCTAAATTGAAAATTACGATAAAGACCAAGCACTTATATTATGCTAATAGCGACTGTACTGTGCTTGATCCATGAAAATCAATTAATTATATTGTAAACATTAACCAATTTAATGTCAGACAACGTACGACGAAAATATTCCATAAGATGCAAGAGTCGAAGCAAAAATAGCATAGCGTAATCACGACATTTTTGTCACGATCTATACATCCTTCAGGGTCATATTCGTATATCGATCCAAAGTATAAGGTGCGCACGGTGGAGTATACGGCCGACAAAGCCGGATTTCATCCTGCCTTGATCAATTTCGAGGACACTCTCACTCAACCTTCCGATTCCGAAGCTGTAAGACTGGCCAAGGAGAAACATTTGCAGCTCTACCAGAGGATCGCCGAAGCAAACGCTCATAATGTTCCAGTAAATTTGCCACAGGTAATTGTTTTATACAAAGTGTCCCACCAAAAAGGGACCACTTAAATATCTTACTTAAATATCTTACCCAAGTATCTAAATAAAAATGCGGATCTTAAGAGTAATCGAAAAGAATGGCCGTAAAAAAACTTTCCTTCCACGGTATTCCTCCTTCAAAATCATTCAAACTGTACTCTAAACCTATTTCTCGTATCATTAAAAAAAGGAAATATTTAAGTGTTCTCTTTATGCTGGGACATCCGGTATATGTCAATATAGGTCAGTATAAAACGATATACATTGGACTGGAATCCAAAAAAAAGAAAGGATGCTTGACTTTAAAATGACTTTAAAATTGCGGATTCTCAGGAAAAAGACAACAATCAACAATCTATTAATCTAACAACACTTAGCTTGTTTGAGTTTCGACTGTTTTTTATATTATTTTTATATAATTTTTTATATTTAATTTGTTTATGTAGTATACTTTTATATCAGAAAGCTGTATATTATATAGAGGGTGTCTCAGATCAACCATACTGAATCTTGAACATCGTAAACTTTATTGAACCTGTCACAACAGCTGTCATATATTTATAGATTAGGCCACTCTGAACAAAAAAGTCCTATACCATTTTGAAAATAGCATGCAAATTTCTGAATTATTAATTAAAGAAACCTCTATGCACGGCCATTTCAAACCATTAATAACTCGAAATTTTGCGTGTTGTTTGCAAAATAAGAGGACATTTTTATTCATCTCAATCTGTTTTATGCCTTCACGAAGTTTGTACATGATAATCTGGGATACCCTGTATATTAACACTTCTTCCTTTATACTTGTCTTATACTTATCTGACATCACGAGACATCGTTTCAATAAAAATCCTAACAATAATTCGAACTCTCGGTAACTAATATCAATTGTCTAAAATAATCACGTTATCGAGGAGAAAGATAAAAGAGCGATCTATCTATCTATCCAAGAAATCTATCCGCGTGATGCATTGGCAAAATACGTTGCTTTAATAAAGAATAGCGCTTTAATTCATTCAGATCGCTCGCGGAATCGTTTCGTGTTCTCGCTTAATTTGCCTAATTGCTCCGCAGGATTCAGCGAGTGTGGCAAACGCGAAGGACAGACATTATCAATTATACCATAGAATCGCGGAACAACACGCGGCGATTGCTGCGCAGAGGGAAGCCGAAAGATTGGCTTACGAGGCGACTTCCGTCGCCAACGACGTAGATGACCATCGGAAGTGTTGATGACTTTTTTTTGGCGTAATATACAACAATGCTCTGAGAAGAAATGGTTAAAAATTAAGTAAATATACACAAAAAAGTGCTAAATTCGGGTAAATAATTACTTCAATGATCCTTGGCGAATTTTTACTTGAGTTAAATAAATTTCACTCGAATCAAGTAAATATTTCACTTGAATAATTTACTTGCTTTGGTAAATATATTTTACTCGGATCAAGTAAATATTACTCGAACCGTAGCACTTTTTCTTCAGTGTAGAAATATAATAATCAAATAATGCTTCAAAATAAAATCTCTCAATTGCAAATCAAAATACATCTTGCGTTATTTGTTTAACTCGTATCAAATCGATTACATTCGTGACTGAATATTTGCAAACTCTCCCAAATATCAGACGTTTCTGCGAGCAAGTATGCGCGACATTACCATGCAAATATTTGCGTACAATAATTTTTTCATTGGTAATAAGCGAATGTAGACGACAATCGATGCGCAAATCGCAAATTATAAATTTTACAATGATCTAAAGTAATACATGCGTTCTGTAACTATTTTTTTTTTACGTATGCCACCGGTGTCTCATAAAGTCCAACGAGCAATGGACGAAAATTACGTTGCGCGACTAATAATCGTTGCACCTGTGTGATTTCGGCACGTGTGTTTTTTCCACGTTCACGGTGTTTTGTTTATGTCGTCACGCGCAAGCAGTGGTGCGAACAATAACTAAAACTCGTCGCTTTTAAGTGCCGGAAGCGCTAGCACAATTTTCGATGGAAGAAGATACACGATACAATTGCACTGTGATGATATAAAAACAACCATGGTACTGAGCTCGATATTAGTTCGAGCGGGCGTTTCGACGAAAAATGAAGGTCTTCGGTATACACTTGCTCTACCTGCTCTACTTCTTTCTACTGTACATCGCGGTAAGAATCGTTATTACTTGCGAGCATTCGCGAACAAACGGAACTCACATCCCGCATTCGGTAAAAAAATCGCAGAAGAATGAAAAATCTGCCAAACTCGTAAATTCGATTAAATCGTATGTGATCGTGAATAATTGCTTTTTATTTACTTTCAAATGGTAATAAGTCATTAATTTATTTATTTATCACGAAGATTATAAAAAAATGAAAGAAATAAAAAAAGGCAATATAAAATTTGAGGAAAGAAATTTTGAACACGCGTGTGAACTTCACTTCCGTGGTCCTAAATTTCTTATCCGATATCAAAGGCAACCCAGCGAGAAGTGAACCATCGAATCGACGTCGTTAAGGTCTAAATTATAATTCGAATCGACATCAACTCGACGTCGATTCGATATTTATTTCTCGCTGGGAAAGGAGTTAATTTTTCAATCTTAGCATGCTTTTGACAAAAAGATTAGGACGAAAAGATTAACGCGAGTTGTAGCTTAGTACACAAACGATATTAACAGTACATTCACATACACAGCGATAAAAGAATCTGTATTAGTAAATATTTTTATCACTCACTGCTTTCTCCAGGCGACGATGTGCATGAGTATTGGAAGTCCCGTGGCTGCAATCGGCGGAAACCGTCAAGTGGCTTGTGGTGGTCGTGGTAGACCATCTAATAGCACTGGATAACGAGTAAATAAAAATAAATTATTACGTATAGCAACTTGCACGGCCTTATAAATCGCAATGGATACTTAATTTCGCATATATATATGCATAACTTTATCGAGAATATTAATAAATTGATAGATTAGAAATATATCTGATACATAAATATATAATAGTATCTGTGCTTGTACATCGATCCTAACACTAAACATATGTGGCTTATTCTTTTTAGCTGCACTGCTAAACTAGTACAATAAGTTAGAGCGAGACAAAATATACTTGTCTCACTCTAACTTAATACACCAGTTAACTAAACAGTGTAGCTAAAAAGAACAGACCAATAGTCAGATTGTGAATTTACCTTTTCTTACACGAATAAGAATCAGAAGAAAATCAGACAATTTAATACTAAATGCGAAATGTGTGTTAATTTCAGTAAAGATATTATAAAGTACTAATGACAAGCGGACGAACGTTTTCGTACTCACTCACGTCTGAACGTACATGGCATAGCATTGTTCCTTTCTCAACTCTATGAGGCGTCATTTTCTGGCGTCTCTTGTTGGTTTTTCAATTTTTTATTCTCGTTTCTACCCGCGTGCGAATAAACTTTGAGTCAAACGAATATTTATGCGAATTAGACCTCACTCGCGTGAACGCATAGAGATATAAGAATAGAGGGAACAAGCCTGTAAGTGGAAGTGATAGAGGCAAAGAGGGAGATGGATGCCGATACAATTATTGTCTATCCTATTATACATTATGCGCTATTGCTCTTCATCTCGCGACAGCCAATCCCAGCGCGTGACTAGAAAGAGACAGATAGGACACTCGGCATCCATCTCTCTCTTTGCCTCTATCACTTCCACTTACAGGTAGCATATATCCCTTGTTCCCTCTATTCTTATATCTCTATGCGTGAACGAAACATTTGAAGCCTTGTCGGTTAAATACGCCATATTGGAATTCGATTGTTGTGTTTCTCGAATACGCTTCTATCGATTTTCTCGCATGTCGATACATTGATAAGTTAATACTTGCACACATTTTAATTCTTTTTAATTCTGCACTTTCTACATTTTCTCACAAGTTTTCTCTTTTCTTGTTTTCCGTCAAATTTAAAAAAAAAAAAAAAAAATATATATATATATATATATACACATTTATTTTAAGTACAAAAAGTGTAACATAGCATCGATAACAAGAACAAATTTATAATAATCATTTTGTTGTGTAAGAGAAGAAATAAAACTTACGAGACAATTGTATATCACTTGCATTATTTTTAAGTCAAAAATATATTAAAAATGAATTAATTATATTTAATACATAATGATATATTACAGGATAGAAAACATGAAAGTAAGCTGAAGGCACAACATAAGAAGTATGGACCCGAGAATTATAGAGACGACCCTGATGAAATTTGGAACATTTTTTTTCAATCTCTACATTGTAATCATATGATGTATTATTTAAAATATAATACATAATATTGCAAATTTCTTATTTGTCTTC